GACATAGATTATCTTAGAATTTAGTTCATTGAGTCGAGTATTTCGCTCGGTGAACTTTTGTGGATCTCCTATAGCAGACAGTACCCCAGCTTTCTTGCTTATTATGAATATAGTTCTGCCACACGGGGACGCGAGATACGACAAGAGAACAGGAAAATCACGACCTAATTCAGAACCTGCGTCTTTAAAAGCGTATCACGAATGATAACATCTTTTTGAGCGTACACTGGAAATCGATTTGTTCCAGAGAGATTGAGATCTGTTGTGCAATCTTTTCAGTCGTAGTTAGACCCATTTCGGCGTTTTTGATGTGGACTAATAGGCAACTGCATATTTTCTGTCCTCGGTCCTAGTGCGCGGAAAGGAAATCAGTGACCTTTTTACCATTGACGCGGGTCACTGGGAGTACTTTTACTTTATACCCGACGCTTTATTTTTCCATCATTCGGCACCGTCATCCCTGTGAAAGTAATTCTGTAACGTCTTACGAATGATATGTCACAGACCAGAGGTTTCTTTCTGACCAAAGGTGACACTTTAACCTAAAGAAAATGGATAGTTTTGTATATCTGTTTTTAATCAACATATTTAGCTGTTGCCACATTCTTGCAATGCATACGACATTTGTACGAAAACCATTTGGTCCTTTCTCCTTTTTTTTATTCTTGCCATTTTTGTGCATCTTTTTTTTTTTTTTTTTTTTTTTTTTTTTTTTTTTTTTTTTTTTTTTTTTTTAGTTATATTTAGTTGTTGTTGTCGTCTTTTACATCTTTTTCTTCTTCTTCTTCTCTTTCTTCTTCTCCTTCTTCTTCTTCCTACTTCAGTCTTCCATTGTCTCTTTTTTTCTTCTTCGTTTCGTTTCTTCTTCMTCTTTCTTAAGTCTTTCATTGTCTCTTTTCTTCTTCTCTTTCTTCTTCTTCTTCTTCTTCTTTTTGTCCTTCTTCAATCTTTCATTGTCTYTTTTCTTCTTCTCTTCCTTCTTCCAATTCCTTTCATCTATTTTTGTTTTCTATATTTTAATGCATCAGTGATTCACCCAAACAAGAACATTTCTAAACACCTCGCGYCAATTAATTTCCTTCTTGTAATATTTACAAAACCTTTTATACTCAAAAAATAATGAAACCATTGTCAAGACAACCCAATAATCTTTGTTTACGACTTGCTTCTAATTTGTAATAGTCGTCAGTTATTTCTGTTTATGCGGGATATAATAACTCGGCGGACAGGAATAACTGAGAAACGCTGAAAATATAAAATAAAAATATAATAATAAAATCGAGAGAAACATTAATTGCACCTGCCTGGGTTTCTATTTGATTCTAAAAGACAACAGACTCATGTTTTTCAGATACTAGTGAGTTATTTCTCCAAGTGGTGGTTCCAGGACTCGACAGGTTCTACGGGTAACAAATTTCAAACATGTCGTTTAATCGATCACTTAGGCCGAACAAATAACATTCATCCTGATCTACTTAAAATCACATGAAAATCTAGAATTTCCCGTCATTCATCACTAGTAGAGTGAGCTCTATTTGCTTTATTGMTATCATTATCGTTATTATTCTTGTTTCTCATCTTTTTTAATATCTAAGGTTTGACGGTCAGAAAAACAAATTGATTATAACGTAATATGGTACAGCGTCGCTTTAATTTAATATCCTAATAATAATTCAAGTTTTCTCGGAAATACGTAAAAACAAAAAACAACAAATAAGCAAAAACAAAAAAACAAAAACAAAAAAAAAAAAAAAGAAAGTAAGAAAGAAAGAAAGAAAATAAAGAAAAGAAAATCAGTCGTAAATAATAAAGGTCGTACATCCGGGCAGTTTGGAAACAGGCGGGCGTGGCAAAACCACATGGTGAATACAGAAAAAATCCACAAGATTTAACGGTAATGTCTTAAGCCGAATGTTCTGCCATTCTAGACTAATAACAAGAATTGTAACGCGGATATTTTCAATATTTTCTTCGGTAAACGGATTAGATTCCAAAATCAGATTAGTTCTGAAATCAGACAAGACTCGGAAAGTCTAAACCTCGAAAAATACATTTAAAATGAAATAGAAAGCTGAGGTTTATTTTATATCGTTTCTGGGAGGTACGTACACACTTCAAATGCCGACACTTTGATAATATTCTATTGATATTTTTTACGATGAACCTTTTTGGCTTAGAGTCTAATGTCTTCCGAAGGCTTTAAATTCGTATATCCAACAACCTTTACCGATTTTAAAGCCTTACCGATTTTAAAGCCTTACCGATTTTAAAGGAATATCGTACAAAGTCTATGCTTTTTCAAATGGTCAAACACCGAAGAATGTCAGATTCGAGATTATGTGGTTAATCGGGGTGCCTTGTGTTGGCCATGATTTTAATCATGTCACGTSATCACAAATTTATGAAAAATAGATYTCGTGCAAGGCACCAACTTTGAATAGCAGCAAGAGAGGGTGACGTGTAATGCTCAACTTACATGCTAGTGTGCATTCCATCAGTTTACTTTTAAAGTGTTCTCAAAATCTTGAATTTTTCATTGCAAAAGCGAGTAACCTCTTTTTACCGCCCGAATGTTCTACACAGCGTTTCGACTCCTGAGGTTATTTATGAAAATTAACACTAAAGACCGAGTTTCCTAATTTTGGAAATTAACTGTTTATCTTTCCTGATCTGAATCAACCAATTATATTTTTCCTTTTGTTAATGAAAATAAAAGAGCCGCCGAACGCGATAAAACCGCTCTGGTAATGAAGCAACGGGAAGTCGATATTTTAGGAAACTATTTTTATCAGAGAAATCGTAAAAGCCTCACTAAATCTTGCACGCTACAAAATTTCTCTCAAACTTAGTTTAACGTATGAAAGAAGTGAGACATGGAATGATTTTTCGTAGACATATAGCCGTTATTTATGTGCAGATATTTCACTAGTACTACTTAGCAGGGGCAGCCGTGTGAGGTCACAACACGACAAAACAATAAAAATAGAGTATTAGAGATAAGAGTATTGATCAACATCGCATGCAGGATATATGACTTTATGTTATCGAGTTTTGACTTCATGGGGGTTATTGTACTTTGAACTGTTGAATCCGCTATCTTTGACATTTGTGGTCGTTAAATATTACAGCAATAGAGGAAGTGGAATAGGACGTATTAGATCTTAATCAAATGGGAAATTCGTTAAGAGAAGAGAGGGGTGAAAAAGTGGCAGCCATGTTGGATGGTGTTCACTATAGGTGG